TTCAAGTATTGATCAGCTGATCTCTTTCCAGAAAGGAAAAGAGACAAGAAGTCCTCTGAAACATCCACAAGGAATACCCACTGATCGAAGTATTTGTTAATGTGAGGAAAAAAAAAATTTTTTTTAAAAATATTGCAGGCATTTCTTATTTCTGAGAATTTACTTCTGCTTATGGGAAACAAAGAGAAATTCCAACTGATGCATGAAGGCATCAGGCATTGGTATGAAGCTTTTGCCAGGCAGGGACAGGTTTTTAAAAGGTCTTAGACCCCACATAAGGGAAATGAAGTTTTAATCAGATTTCACTCAGGTGTCCAAAAAAGGGGATTTATTTCTAAATCACCAGTGACCTGTGCAAAATCTGGATTTTCTTTGCAAATCCAGTTGTTATTCCCAGCGGGAGCTCCCGTTTCTCAACAGAGCTGAAATTCAGGCTGCTTCACATTTGGAAATCAAAGGGAGCCCTTTGTGCTTCTGAAATTCCGGCCCTGGCCAAGTGCTCTGCAGCCAAGAACAAAAGTTAAGTGAACTCAGAAAGAACAAGTCATCAGCCTGACCTTTGGTCATTAGAAAAATGTAAAACATCTCAGAGTTATTCCCCAAATCCAAGTCAGGTTTCATCTGCGCTGAACATTTGGTGCAATAACTGGGAATTTCACAAATTAGCCAGCCTGAAGTCACTGCTGGCAGTGGGGTCTCTGGGTGATTTGTACTTGACAGTGTGTAAAGACCAGAATCCATCATTCCAACCTGGTGGAAAGAGATTTCAATGGTTTTTTCATTTGGTTTGAGTTTGTTCTTTTGCTGTTGTGGTTTGAGGGTTTTTTTTTTCAGTTTGTTTGCTCGTTTGTTTAAATTGTTGTAAAGGATTTTTTCCAGCATAGCGACTGGAGCTTGCTTAAGTTTCTATTTACTCCAAAGGGTTGTTATGTAAGAGCTAACCTCATTGTTCTAAAGCAAAATGAGTAAATGATAAATGAAGGTGTTTGGCAGCAGTTAAGCAAAATAAGTTTGTCTGCAGAGAAAGGAGGTGAAGGTCCTGATTTTTTTGGGTTTTTCCTCCTCTCCATCCTCCTGCATGATGGATGATGCTCTCCCATGTCCATCAGGTCATTGTCCATCACTGGACTTCAGAAATTTCTTAAATTATTTTTATTTATGAATAATCACTACACAGACAGAATCTTTTAGGGAGATAACAGCTGGAAGAACAAGGAGACCCTCACAGAGGAGGTCACAACATGTAGAAATGTAATGTTCATTGTAATAAGAAATACCTGAAAAAGGAAAGAAGCCTTTTGCTGTTTAGTGCATCACAAGTACCAAACTGCACCCAGGAAAGGAGGGAACTGATTTAATAACATCTGGTCTAGATAACTTTGAAATGTCTGCCATGGTAATTACATGTTAAGGATACAATTTCACACTGCTTATAATGTCAGAAACTCTTTCTAATTATACATTACCCAGAAAAGGGCCTTGTTGCCTTCTGTCTTCAAATTATTGCTTTTATCCCAACACCACCTGTCCAGGTAGGTAATATTATGGCCAGTGTTGCTTCTGAGAACCCCCTGATCATTTATGGATTTATGCTCACTGCATAAAAATCCTTTTCCTGAACCCTGAAAGTTCCCAAAAATGTGATTATTGCTGCATTTCAGTCAGAGAAAATTTCACAACAGTGGCAGGGGATTTTCAGTGGCCTTCTGTGAATAAAAGAAGAAAATTTCTGTTCCAAAAATACATGTAGTGACTTCTGCCTCACCATTTTGCATACCAACAAGTCCTTCATCAAGTTTCAGTCTCTCAGACACCTCTCCCCATATGCAGCACTGAGTGACTTTCCATTAAAATCAGCCTCCAGAGATGGATGTGCAGCTTCCATGGCCTGCAAACATCTTCCCCCAGCCCTCACCTCGCCAGAGAAATGTTATTTCTGACGCCCTGCCCACAGTACTTTGTGTTCTCTCTTAATCAATCAAAGTGTCCTTATCTTTGCTGCACTTCATCTTGTCTAACAAGTGCTCCCAAGAGCACCTGAGTTTTATTTCTAGGAATAAGTGTGTTGTCTTATTGGGACCATGTGTTCTTCAGAGCCTGCCCTGTGCCCTCACACAGGAGAATCCACACTGATTCATTCCCAGAGCTCGAACTTTGAACGCTCATATTATTTTTATTAAACTTAACTCTGGTTCTTTCTCCCTTCTCTCCTTTCCCCTGCACCCTGCAGCTATATCCAGCCTCAGAGTCAAAGCAGGAATAAATGCAAAACACATTGAAAAGAGGATTATGTGCATATGGAGGAGGATTGACATCCATTTCCAAACTGGGAAGATTGAGTTATACCAGTTTTGCCCTTGGTTATCCACCTAAGATGCCTGTGCAGGTGAGTGAACGCCTGAGCACCCAAGGAAGACACCCTGGGAAGTGTCTCAGCACAAAGTGTTGGCCAACCTCTATGGTTGTGTTCAAGGGTCCCAGGACGAGGGAAGAGATGAGAATCTTGGCTCCATGTTTCAGAAGGCTGATTTATTATATTATGATATATATTATATTAAAATGCTGTACTAAAACTATACTGAAAGGATCCATCAGAAAGCTGGAAAGGAAAGGAATGGAATGAATAACAAAATCTTGTGACTGCTCACAGCCTCGACACAGGTGGCTGTCATTGGTCATCAAGTAAAAACAATTTCACATGCTGGGTAAACAATGCTCCAAATCACATTCCAAAGCAGCAAAACATGGAGAAGCTGAAACTTCCCAGCTTCTCAGGAGAAAAGATCCTGGGAAAAGGACTTTTCATAAGATATGTCTGTGACAAACCTTACAAACCTCTTCTCAAACCCCTCCTTTCTGTGGCCACACTCTGGGAAGGATCTGAGTTATCTTCCCATCTCCCTGGCTGCTCTGCCAGGTTGGATCGTGGCAAGGCAATAAGAAACCAGCTGGAGATTCCTGGCTCTTGGCTGGGCCATTGTCACTTCAGTGTGACAGTGAGCTCAGCAGATGTGAGGCCACCTCTGGGTGAGTTTGATTTCTCCTGATATTGATAAAAAATCAGCCCCAGCCTTGAGTAGGTCCTGGTTGGATTGCAGCTGTTCCTCAGAAGGTGATGTAAGAAAAGGGAGAGGAAAAAGAAGAAACCGCCCAAACCTCAGCAAGGTTTTGTCCATCTTCAGGGCTGCTTTTGTGCTGGAGTGGTTTGGAGCAGGGTGCTGACATCTGTTTGGAACAAATGCCACGTTCTGTCCCTCCAACACCACTCTCCACAAGTCAGTCCTGATTATCAGTGTGGATGTGGTGCTGAAATCTGGTCCTGAACTACGAAATTTGCTCTATAACCTTTTGTCATTCCCAGAATGAAAATTGTCCAAGCACATCCTCATCCCACAACTTTCCTTGGAAATTATCCTCCACCCTCACATCAGACTGAGGGATGGAAAACATTGAGAGATCTCTAAAGCCAACAAGATCAGGGCAGGAGCCCAGATTTTTCCTCTCTGAGCCGCAGCTGCCCAAAAGCTTGATAAATACCAAAATGGCTATTTTAATGGTGAGAAATCCATTAAAAAAAAAAAAACCAAAAACACAAACAAACAAAAAAAAAAAAAACCCAAAAAAACAAAAAAAACCCAAACCAAAAAAAACAGAACCAAAACCCTAGAATTGTAGAAATGTGAAAAATCTTGCTGTAATAGTAGCAGACTGCTGAGACTCAGGCAGGATGGTGCCCACAGCTCAGTTTAAAAAAAAAAAAAAAACAAAAACCAAACAACCAGATTAACGGGCATAATCAAGCCTGACATTGAGTAAGAGGCAAGAACAAGTAATCAGATCCCAACTTAGCTGATGCTGGCATTACTGGGAGCCTGGGGCACAGTCCAAGGATAAAAACATAACGTCTTATCTGAGCAAGGACTCATTTGTGCACCAGGTTACAACACGTCCTTAAAAAGGGAAAGAAGGAAAAGGAAAATATGGCACATGAAATTATTTTATTTCCCAGAAACGATAAGAAAGTAAAGCTAAAAGTTTCTACACCCAATCTTTATAGAGGAAAAGCCTATCTAGAGTTAACCCCTTGCAATGTCCACTGTAAAGCCCCAGGATATGGAAAAAGATATTAAAACAAAAAGTGAAATGGGGATTAAATCAAATTAGTATAATGAAAGCAATTAAAGATCCAGATTTTGGAATAATTCTTGCTATTTGGAGATTGCTGGGATCCTTGAGGCCGGCCTGCTCCTCGGTTCAGTGAGAGTTCAGGCAGTCTGGCAATCCCATCCTTTTGGCCAAGACTCCTTTTCTGGCAACACATCTCCCTGTTTCTCAAGAACTCTTCTTTTCCTCCAGATTCAACAGGATGTTGACCTGGATGTCTCAGAACAGCTCATGGAGAGGAAAGACCCTCTGACACAAAAGCACGTCACTGGAGAGGGAGCTGTAATGTCAGGGAGGGCATCTGGAAGATCAAAGTGGGAATAAACCAATCACTCCAAGCTCTATAGCTTTGCATGGCTGTTTCATTTCCAGCCTTTTGAAGCACAGCTCATGGGCTTTAACAAGGAAAGAACTTTTGTGTAAAATTCAGTAAATCGAAAAAGCTGGTTTGTGTAAAATTCAGTAAATTTAAAAAAAAAAAAACAACCCAGACCAAACAGCATGGGCCTGTAGGGGAAAAAATGGAATTTAATTTCTGTACTACAGACTTTTCCCAGAAAAGCCAGGAGTGGGTCAGCGTGAAATGCAACACCAGACATCTGGGAGGGAGTCTGCCCAGTTCTCCCAGCCTTTTCCATTTCCATCATTTGCCATCGTTTGAAACTTTCCATGATGACAACTCACCAGCAGAGCCCAGTTCTTCCCCAGAGGGAGCTCTGGGACACTGGGGCTGCCTGGAGTCAGGAGGAAGACACAGGTGAGAGGGTGGTGAGTGGAAATCACCTCCTGCACCTCGCCTCTGCTTTTGGAGCAGGGTGAGACCACGTGTACAGCTGGAATGAAGCCTCATTTTCCTCTTCCAGCTGCGACTCGAGGTGTGAGCACTGTGGTGTCTCAGGGAAGTGACGCAGGTTCTCAATGCTGACCTGCCTTAATGGTCTTCACTTGGCGGGACATTGATTTATTGTCCTCACGAGCCTCAAGTGACACTGTTTGCTCTTTCCCCAAGGGCTGGTAGGCCAGCAAGGTGACAACTGGTGACTGGAGGTGACCACTGCTCTGCGCTGGGAGAGTGACACATGTGTGTGACGGCCTCTCCTCAGCCCTTCTCAAAATGTTTGTGCAGGAGCAGCCATAAATGCGGCTGTATCGACCCGAAGATGCAATCCAAGGCGCTTGAGCCTAGGCCTTATCTACATCACCTTATCAGGAGCCAGAGAGCGAGATGCACCCCGGGAAGGGAGGGGACTACTCCAGAGGGTTTGGCCTCGTCCCTTCTCTTCTGGCACGGGGAGGGACTGCGGGCAGAGCTGGGTAATGATTTGTCATCGCGAGGACCGGGGTGTCTCTCTCTGCAGAGGAAACCGGGGCCGTGATTGACAGTGGGGCTGTTTCTGCCACTTCCCCCGCTGCTGTCAAGTAATAATGAAGCTTTGTCAGTCCATCATGGACATGGATATGCCAGATTATGTCGACTCCTTGGACTCCTCTTACACCATGCTGGAATTCGACAACCTCCGCGTGCTCCCCAATAACACCGGTGAGATTCTTGTTCTTTTTCTCTTGAATAAGCTCCACTACTTTTGCTGTAAAGCTGGACACAGAGGAAAGGCTGGTGGGAGATATGGGGCAAAGGGTGGAAGGGGTAATATTTAAGCAGCTGACCTGTCAACCTCTGTTAGATCCGTGGTTATGCTTGGGCTGAAATGCGACCCCTTCGCTGGTCGGTCCCATTTTGGGTTATTCTTTTCATTGGTGGGCTGAGTGTCATGCCCTGAAGAGCCCACCAGGTTTTGCAGGTGTTGGTAGAGGTCTTCATGGCATTCCCTGGATTTGTCCTGCTGTATTGCATATGAGAGGAGTTATTACCAATATTTCCGTTCAAATGTGTGTTTCTTTCCCGTGTGCGACTTCAGTTGACATTTAATCCTCAGGAAAACATGTCATCCCAAACAGCATTTGTCCATGACCGTGTGCCCTGTTTGAGTTGGTCCTGGGAACCTGAACTGAGAAGCAATATCCAAAACATTGCTAGCTTTGTGTTCCTTTTCTGGCTACCATGATGGTCCAACAGTTTTTAGGGCACAAAGGACTTGGCTGGGAGGCGGGAGTGTTTATACGCCGAGACTTCCGCTTAGTTCGCAGGAGTAAAGCGCTTTGTGTGGTATTTAATTTTTCTGCAGTCAAAAGTACTCTGGCATAAAGTGAACTCCATCCTGTGAAATCAACTGCTCGCTGTGTAAAAATAAAGGGCATTTTGGTCATCTTGCCTGAAACCATTTGTGCAACTGAATGAGATTCGGGCATTAACGATCCCTTTGGAGAGTTTTGGCAGGCTTTTAATTTGTTAAGAAGCTTAGTGAAATTAAGATGGGATTTTCACATTTGCTCATTAACTGGCTTATCAAAAGAAATCAGAGTTTCAGGAGGGATATCACCTACAATACAAAATATTAGACTTACTATTGCGGGGCCTGGAGGGAGGTCAGAAGACAAGTAAAGTTAAAAGGCCCAAAGGAACTTGAATTTAAAATTGCCTTCTGTAAAGCTCTGGCTGTCCCCAAATCAAAGATTTTCGATATATATAATTTTTGTAAGCTCCAGCTAGACTGGATCTTATTTTTGCAGAAAGTTTTCCACCTCCCATCCTATTCCAGAAATGTCATTTAACACAGATGTTTTGCTTTGTCACTTCCCGTTGAACAAGAAGATACTTTTCACTTTTTGAAGCAGCACAAATTTCCCTGAAATTCAATATAATTTTGTAAACGAACCACCAGTGTCTGTTTGGGCTCTCTGTTGATTCATGCAGTAGAACTGACAGGTTGAGTTTTTTTCTGAACTTTATCGAACTCAGTATTGTGTTATTTGTTTAGCTGTTAATGACTAACCAGCTCTCTCGGGAAGTAGCTGCTTTGAAATTAGCTTGTTTGTCTTGTGTAAGTGTCCTTTTCTATGGTTTGTAAAAATAACTTCAAAAAATACATGAAATGGCCATTCATGGAAATCTATTGCTGGCCAGCTGAGGTAATTCAAAATCACAGTTTCCTTGTGGCTTCAAAAATATTTTAAAATTTCTTAGAATCAAAAAACAACCTCATTTTAGGTATTTTTTTAGAATTATACTGGATTTTTTTTTAAGATTGCTTATATCTCTCCTAAGGTTCATCTGTGTTTTCCCTAGTAAATGATGACAGCTTTGCCCTCTATAAACATGAACAGGAAAGGATGAAATATTTATCTTGGTGGACTCAGTGCAGTTTCTTACCTTCTGAACAATTCCAAAAGTGAAAATTGGACTATTTTCAAATAAGGTCATGCTTTCTTGAAACCAACAACTTCCTTCTTCAGAACATTATTTTATCAAAATTTTGGGTGGAATGATTCTGTGGAGCACTTCCTATGCTTAGATGTTTCTTCTTCATGAAGTTGCTGTCATTCTGAGATTTGCCCAGATATTGGCAAATTGGATTTTCCACCTTCAAATAGCTCATAATTTGCCAAATATTTTAAGATTAATTCAAAATAAAGAATAGAACACTTTATGGGAGTGATATAAGAAATATGTAAGGTTTAAATAGAAAGACTGGCAAAAGCAAAGGAGCAAAAATCACTGCTAATTCTGTCTTTCCTATGTGAAATATGTGTTGCAACAGCAGAATTTTTCCCATTCTGTACAAGTTTGTTTCCTTCACCTTGTCTGGCACTACAGCCCACATTTTCAGTTTTGATGTGTGGTTAATGGCCATTCCCTCACTCTCCTGTCAAAGCTGTCTCATTTTGGTGAAGATGTGAAGCAGTGCTGCAATGCAGCCCCAATTCTTCATCGGAGAGTTGGGGAGCGCTTTCTGCCAGGGTGGTGCTCGTTGTCCTGTCTCAGCCCCACACTCCACACTGATCCTTGGGACCCTGGCACGAGGTTGGTGAAATCTTTCCCAGCCCTGCAGGAGTCTGACCCAGTTCAGACCGTGCAAAAGCCACCAGAGATGTTTTGGGAGTGATTTACCATCTCTCAAGCTTCCAGTGCCTGAACAGCACCTTCATCATTGCTCCTCTAGGATTTGGGGTCACTAAATCACAGCTATGTTCTATATCTCAAAAACTCCTCTATTTGCTAAAAGCTGATGTAGAAAGAGGCTGACCCGCACGTGGCCAGGGTTTAAACCCCCTCCTGCCCTACATTTGTGTGTACAGGTTTCACAATACTGGCTTTGGCACCGAGTTTGGCTGCGTCAGTTCAAGCCCTAAACCCACACTTGTGATCTCTTCACATTCTAGCCCAGCACATGTAATTTGGGGATTTGTTAACTGCAAATTATCTGCACCAAAACTAGGATTTCCTGGTAGATAAAAGCCACCCTGGAAAGTATTGCAGGACAATTCTCTTTTACAATGTGCATCTAGAAGATCTGTAGCCAGTAAAGGAACTGAAAGGAAAAGCAGTGCAGGGGTCAGGTATGATGAGAACATCCTCAGTGTCATTCCTTATCACTGTAAAACTGGCATTATCATCTCAGCCCTGGTTAGACAATGATTAACATACAGAGGCAGTAGGTACCAAAAAATCTGTGTGCATTTCAGTTGTGAACTTGGCTGATCCCAAATCTGGGGAAGCCACCGGGCGCTCTTCTCAGCCTTAGGGAGCTCCGTCTGCACCCTGACCGTATATAACTCAAAAAATGGTTAAAACTTCAGATATTTCTGTCAATGAACCTTGGGGACAGCCCCAGTGAGGGGTCTGGCCACAAGCAGAGCCTCAGCTCAGCCTGGGAGCACAAAAAGTCAGGATGAGTTGTGGTCTCTTCCTGGAGAACAAAATCAAGTGCATCTCTCCAGTGGAGATGGCAAAGGCACCGCGGCAGAGCACAGGAGCTGCTCAGATTATCTCCCTGTGTCAGGCAGGGATGGAGCACACAAAGCAGATTTCACAGGCAGGCAGGGGACTGTGCTGCCAGGGATCCTGGCCTTCCTCTGCCTTTCCTCACAGAGATCAGCCCAGGAAAAACTCAAATACTGGGGAGGTTTGAAAGCTGTCTCTTGAAAGAGTCTCCTGGTGCCTGTGATATCAGCTGTGCTTTGCTCTTCTCTGAGCTAATTCTCATTTGGAGCCCATCATTAGCTGGTGACAGGATTTTGTAATTAAAAATTGTTATCATAATTAACGTGCGTTCTAGATTAGGGGTTTCCTTTTATTTTTTAAAATTTCTGTCCACATTCAGCCAATTCAGCTGAAAAGGACACGTGGCTCCCTCCCACAGTTTGAACTTTTAGCTGTGGAGCTGCCCTAACGCAGAGCCACCCAGCTCACTGGTGATTTGTTTGTGCTTCCATGGATACAAGTGAGGGCAAAATTTGGTTTGCTAATTTCCAAAGGCCTTCACACACACAGTGCTGATGGTTCCCCTCCAGTAATACCTGGTTTCAGGCCAGATTATTAATTTCTTCCTTATATCAGCAAGCAGATCCTCATGTGCTACTCGCATAAAAGGAAACAAAGTCTTTTCTGGTGCGTAAATACTTTCCAGCATCAGGAATATTCTGCAGTCTGGACCTGGATGAGGGGTCTGTTGGAGACCTAAACTGTTTGACCTTGGCTTGATTCCTCTGAAGTCTAGAGAAAGCATGAGTGAAGAGGAAATTGGCTGCCTTATCTTTATTTCGGTTGTGCAAATTTTTAAAATGGAATCCAGCACAGTGCATTTGTTTATGGTCATGTGCTCCTTCAAAAAATGGATGGAGCAACAGATGCCCAAATGTTCTGCAGTTATGCTCAAAGGAATATTCTGTACTGTTCACTTAATACTAAGATATTAAATAACATAAAATCAAGAATAATTGGGGAAAAAAAGCTAAAAATCAACCTAATTTGCCATTAAACATCTCTGACATAGACAATGTTCCCAAAGGACCCAAGTGTCACTTCCTGATAAATGTCAGGGCTGGGAGAATCTTACACAGAATTTGGGAAGAGACAAATCTCAATTCCTGTCATTATGATCTAGGAATGATTTTGGTGCTGTCATTATTTCTTGCCATGTTGCTCCCATCTTGTTGTAACCCACTTATTTACTCATCCATATGCCAGAAGGTGAATATGGACCAAAAGGGTTATTTTAGGAGGTGACAGGAAGTCTGAACTTTGCATTAGTGAAATCTTGGCTAAAAATTCTTAGTCTTAGCCTTAGCTAAGAAACTATCCAGTTTTTAAAAAAACTGAAGCTTTGTTTGCTTTGCTAATTTTTTTTTGGGGGGGCAGGGTGGGGTTGATTACAATTCTCATTGCACAGCAATACTTTCACTATAAATTTTTATGTGTATTCACACACAAAAATAACCTTCTCTCACTCTCTCTTTGTATGCGTACATTCTGTGCGTGGAATACCCACAGCTGTTTTTATGCATTATGGATTAGAAAACTCTCTCTAGGCAGATCAGGTGGCAATTCCTCCCCTTTGAGCAGTTTTCTCTAAGAAACTGCTGAGCTGAATTTTCCCATCTCTGTTGGGAGGATGTCCCATCCCAGAGACACATCAGGGTGTGCCTTGTCCCAGGGATGTTTCTGAGGTCACTGGAGCACGAGATGGGCCCCCCTGGAGCACAGAACATGCTCCCAGAGGTGTGATAAATTCATAAAATCATCCTGCAGCGAGTGCCCAGGTCAGGCTCTGCAAACAGCTACAAACACTGTCAGCTGCCCTCTTAGTGAGGGTCTCCTCTCCTTTCCTTCCCCAAGCTGTGCCTCAAATTGGGAGGATTAAGAGGGCAGAAAGTCTGGTGGTTAGGGCAGAGGGAGAGGTTCCAAGGGGAGTTTTCAGCAGTGTGTACACACAGGGGCAGAGCTATTCCTGCCCCAAACGAGTGGGTGCAAATGGAAGACATGACAGAGGGTGTTCATATCACCTAATTTTCAGTCCCTAATTTAGAAGTCTGATCTTCCTGCACACCTCTGTTGCTTTCTAGTGGAAAGCAGTGAGCCTCTTCAGAGAGAATTTCAGAGGAGGGACCAGACTTAGAACTAAAGTGATGCCTGTGGAAGCTGCTGTCTCTGCCTTCCAGCTGCACAGGAGCTCTCAAGAGCAGTCTTTTATCTTCAGCACCTCTATCATGGGCATGAAGTTGTTCATCCTTTCTGCCTCTGCTGTTTCTTCTCTGCATTCTATTTATTTGAGTTAATGAGCTTTTTTTCCTATTTTCTTCTGTGGACACCAGCTTTGAACCATGTTCTCCAGGCATCACATTGAGGAGGTGGTTCCCCATCCCTCAAAAACAAAAAACTCACATGCAAGTGAGGTTTCTTTATATCTCTCCAGGAAAGCAGCGATAATTGATAAATTCTCAAGAGCAGTTTGGGCCATGCAGCTTGAAAACTCTCTGATCACTCAAGTGAAGAAAAACACCAATACCAGAAGCAAAGGAGCTGATCTTGGGAAGAGCATGGCCATAAATTCAGATGTTTCCATCGCAGGGAGCTCTAACTGTCCCCGTTCTCTGCCTGCAGAGGCCATCGCGGCCGAGTCAGCAAATACCAACCTGCTCCCCAACGGTGTCAACTCCCTGTGCTCCATCTGTGGGGACAGGGCCACGGGCAAGCACTACGGGGCCTCCAGCTGCGACGGCTGCAAAGGCTTCTTCAGGAGGAGCGTCCGCAAGAACCACGTCTACTCCTGCAGGTACCGAATTTCGGCAATAAACAAATGCGATTTATCCAGGAAATGGTTTGGGGTGGGGTCAGGGGGTCTCAAATGCCAATTTGCCACGCCGTGGAGGCCACCAGTAGGACTGCAGTTTGGTTTACATGGAGTAAGCTTAGTCTGATCTTTAAACTCAGTCCTATCTCATTTGAACCCCGAGACCTTCTGCGGCATCGAGTGATGCATTGAGTGAATTTGCCATCACTGCTTTCCCCACAGGGTAAATTGAGGGAAAATCATAGATGTGAGAATCACAGAATTGGAATAGGTTGGAAAAGACCTTTAAGATCCTCAAGTCCAACCCCAAAACTTGAGGTTTGACTGATGTGTAAAATACATAAATACAGACACTGGGTGTGGAGTGACACCATGACCTCGTCACAGCCCAGCAAGGGGAAGCCAAGGTGGCAAAGGACCAAAGCTCCAGAGATTTCATCTGTCTTGCTTTTCCTGGTAAAAAACAACAGGCATCCAAGAATCTGTCACCTCCTAAGCCCTCTCACAGCTTCTCCATTTTTGTTTTGAAGTACAATAAATTATGTACACTGACTTATCAGTGATGATTTTATGAATATTCTGAGAAATATGTGTGGACCAGAGATGATTCACATCCACTTTGGCACGCAGGTATACATTGGAGAGAGGTTTTTTTTGCCAGGAGGAGGCTATAAATTATAAAGCCGCTATCTTGATTGACCTTAGAAAAATGATATTTATTTTAGCACAGGAGAAAGTGGAAAGAAATCCCAAACATCAATACACTTAAGCCTTTCATGTCTAGTTAAAACCTGGAAGTTTTCTTTCTGTTCCAAAGCTTTTCCTCCTCTAAGGGCATTCCAAATTTTTCCAATGCGAGTCGCCCTCCTTGTTCAAAATGTTCCTGGTGCCCTTATCACTCCAGGACACACCAGCCATGAAGGACACCTGAGGTGACAGCCATGTCCACCTGCACAGTGCCCATCCCATGAACTGTGGGATTCCTGCAGGAGGAGATGAGCTCTATAATGGTTTATTTGAAATTTCAGCTGTCGGTCTCCTGGGAGCGGAGCTGTTGCCTCTCCCCAGGAATCCATGAATCTCTGTGATATTTGGCAGCTCAGGGAAGATCCACAGCATGGAAGCCAAGCTTTTGTGCAAGCCCTTATTTGGTGAGCTCAGCCCAGCTCAGAGCTCTGCTTATGGCAGACATGAATTCCTCTGCAAGCTTTTGGGCCTTTGTACCTTTGGCTTTTTACCAGTCTGGGAAAGTGCCTCAGCTTTCACAACCTGATGGTCCCGGAGCAACCCAAATCTCCTCTCCGCGTGAAAGATTCCCCATCCACTGTTTTGCCCTCCATGGGGAGAGCTGCCAAGCCTGTGTGGGCTGCCCCTGGCACAGCACAAGGGTTCCTAAATCCCCATGGAAAGGAGGAGGAATTAGAAGGCCGCAGAACAAGGCCGCAGACTCAATGGGCTTGTGGCCCATAACGCATTTTATTCTACACAAAACGCAGAATAGTTAACAAGTGAAATCAGACAAACCCCAACGCCAAACACCCAAAAACTGTCTGGAAGTGGGAGATGGAGCTCCTACAAAAGCACAGCTTGGGTCACAGTCATGTTTTCATGGCCAAAACCATCCCAATCCCTGCAGGGTGGGTGGTCTGCAGCCGCTGCGCTCCCAGCTGGAAGGAGCGGCGGTGGGGAAGAGGAGGAGCTGGGCCAAGCTAACCTTGATTCAACCCATTTCTGGCAAACTTTTGACTCTTCTCTAGGATCATGCAGTGTGGAGCTCAGGGAGGTCTGGGGCTGTATTTGGGGCTGCTCAGGGTCACAGATGGTTGCTCCATGTTGAATTTCCCATCTCCTCCCAGGTTCAACCGACAGTGTGTGATAGACAAAGACAAGAGGAACCAGTGCAGGTACTGCAGGCTGAAGAAGTGCTTCAGAGCTGGCATGAAGAAAGAAGGTGGGTGCAAAGAGACATTTCCAGCCTTCCTGCTGCTGTCCTAGGCCCTGTTCCACTGCAGAGCATGGTGGGGAGCAGCAGCAGCACTGGCTGGAGAGATGATCATTGTGTGTCACAGAGAGATATTTTTGTTGCAGCTGTTTGCCATTTTATCTCCATTTCAGTGAGAGCCCAGTGACATTATTCACCCATCCTGTGAGGCTGGTTTTTTAGTTCTGGGAAAGGGATGGGCTTCCTCAGGGCTTATTTGGTCCCTAAGTGCTTTACAATAGCAATTTCCTCTCTCCATACCCACTGGTGTGGCTCCTAATCCCACCTGTGCCAATCTCAGCGAGGATCTGCCACCTCCAATCTCATAAATGCCATCAGTTTGCTGCTTCAGGTGGTGTGGTTGGCTCAGCTGATGCCCACGTAGCTGCACACAAGGGCAAGGTACAGCTGAGCACAGAGCCTTAAGGAGTGGGAGCCTCTCCATGGCACAGGGCACACGGGCAGAGCTCCAGGAGCAGAGTGACTCATGTGTCCCCCACAGCTGACTCATGTACTCCAGCAGGGGACATGACTCAGAGCAAAACCCTTAGGTCGTGCTGCTGGTGACAGGGTGACTGTGGAGCCAGCACCAGCACTGAAGGGCCAATCCCACACTGGCCAACACTTTTTGTTGCACTTCCCATCATCTGCATTGAGGGGGTGCAGAGTTGTAGGTTTGGGTGCCAGTGACCATCAGGATGTGCCCTTTCCAAAGGAAATGCTGTCATACTGCCTAATGCTCTGCAAGGAAAACCCATTTCTGTCAACCTGTGCCTACATACAGCTTCCCTGGGAAATTCTGAGATCTCCCACAGCACTTCTGACCTCTGCTTTTCCAGTTCTGCACACTGGGAGAGCGTGGATGATCCTGTTTTATTGTGATTGTCCTTGTCCACTGAGTGCCTGACAAAGTGGGGGCCCAACCCACCCAAGGTGCAGGTTGTTGGGTGATGGTTTCACACTCTTCACCCTTCATTTGTGCTGTTTCCCAACCCACTGGCAGCTAAAAGATGAGGGAGGTAGAAAGGAGCTTGAAAGTTTCTTTCCATGTCACCAAGTTCACCCAAGGGGTGGAATTGTGGCCCCACTGAACCCAAAGGGAAATTTGCCGTTGATTTCTTGTAATTCATAAGATTTTACCGGTGATTAAATGATCTTTCCCATGTTCTGACCATATGTTTTCCTGGAGAAGGGTGTTTTGAAACCATGGATGAAGTAAAAATGCCAACTGGTTTAATTTAGGAGAAATGGAGTAAATACAGCAGATGGAAAAACAAATAGTCCTCAAATTAATGAAGACAAAATTGAAGCTGATTTGGTCAGTTCTAGATGGGATCAAGCCAACTGCCAATGCAGCAAACTGCACTGCTTGGACAGGCTGAAATCTTGTTATCAGATCTATTCTTTGAGCTGAAGCATGATTTTTATTGGTTTTTATGGTAAAAGTTATAAAACCTTGGCTCATGCCTCCATCACTGAGTGCAGCTTGATGGGAGATGACTCATTTCAAGTTCCACATCGTCACATTCCTTGAAACTTTTTTATGAGTGCAGTCAGGTTGTGCGCTCGGAAAATGCTCCTGTGTTTGGCAAGGAAGCTTTTAAAGCACCTTGAGCAACTGCTGTGCAGAAATTAGCTTAGCTGACCAGAGCTCTATCCCGAGCACATGTGCAGGACTGGGAAAGAAAAATTCTTGCACAACTGTGTGCACAAAAAGAACACAGCTATTTGCTTTTGGGTGGTTCTAGATTAATATTAAACAGTATTGCGAAGCGTTAGGGAGGAGGAGAAGCCATGTCTTGGATGGGGCACTACTGGAGTGTCCAAATATTTGTACAAAACCTTTTGGAGCGTGCAGGGGTTGGTGCTGGGAGGTGGCAGCGGTGACATCCACACTCCACATCCGTGCTCTGCTTCCCAGCACTGGCACAACCCTCTTTCCCTGGCACATTCCTTTAGGGCCAGCCCTTATAACGGCAGTCAGAGTTTCCAGGGTGTGGCAATAGCATTGTTTATCCACGGCAGAGGGGAAGGAGCTGGAAACGATCCTTTTCCCAGGCTGGCTGTGACAATACACCTGGGGTGGGGTCAGCGGGGCTGTGTCACCCTCGCCGTGCCCCACTGACCCACTGCTCGGTGTCTGTGTGCTCAGCCTCGGAGAACTTGCTGTTCCCTGGCAAAGCTAACTGATAAACGGGAATTTTGGATCCAGAGGGATTGGGTTTTGTTGTTTTTTAGTTTTTTTTTTTTTTTTTCTTCCCCCACAATCTTCATGTGTTGTAAGATGTGATGTGGCACATTTAGATATTTCTTTTTCTCCATTTTTTTTTTCCCCCTTTTGGAAACTTTTCTAGCGAATAAGGAATCACAAGGAGCTGTGCAGCCTGGTAGAAAGGAAATTTCTCCCTGAAGAAAAAAACATATAATACAAATACCTGAGCTACACAGTGACCAGATCTGCCTGAGGTTGCAAGATTTAAGGGGAGGTTTAGGTTGAATATTAGGAAAAGGTTCTTCTCCCAGAGGGTGGTGGGGCACTGAACAGGCTCCCCAGGGAATGGTTGAGAAAATTACCTGTTGATCTTTAGATTGCTTTGTCTGTCCAGCCTGAATTCAATCCTATTTTCAAGAAAGACCAACACTGCCCTCCACAAAAGGTTTGTGAATTGGCATGAGATCCAGGTTCCATCAGCAGTAATGAGAGCAGGGAAGGGACAAAACTTGAGTCTTGTGGAAAGACCAGTTCCCAGATTTCCTAGAAAATAGCTCACTCCGAACTATTCCAATTGCATTTTTGGTATCAACAATTCACTTTAATAACAACCATTAAGGTTAGGATGAGGGGAGGGGGAAATCCTTGTCTGAACAAAAAAACCCTCTTATGTCCTGAACACCTTTTGTGATCAGGATCTAAGATTTTTACAGGAGAGTCACTCCTTGATTCTTGTGTTGGGGTTAAGGCTGGGGCTGTGCCAGAGTGGTCTGGATATTTTGGGGATTTTCTGGCTGTTCCCCCTGAGTTCCTCTGTCCTCAGAAGGTTCAGTTTCTATTGTCTTGCACAATGCTACCAGACAGGTTTTTGGCCACTGCAGCATCAGTGGCTGAGTAGAACACCAGGTACTCAAACACCCAAAGAAAACAGGGGGATTCTATTTTTAGCACCTCCCTGAGATCATGTTTAACCTGGAATAAATCAGCAGGGTGTGATTCCTCAAGTGAGCCAGGTCATCTCCTCACATGGAGCTGAGTGCCTGAAAACCTGGAAGCCTTTTGAAAGGACTCAGCTTGCTGGTGGGAGGGAAAAAAAATGAAGGGTTAATATTTAACCTCTCATCCCCTTCAAAGTAATTTATGAATGTGAATGAACTTCTTTAGTTTTATGCAGAAGTAAAAAGAATTGTTATATCACTCACTGCTGCAACAGTAAGGAGGAGGGAGGGTTTGAGGGTTTCTCTTTATTATTGTGAAATTGGACAGGTTTATAGGACAGTTTTATTAGTGCTTCACAGGGCCTCTATCTTGTTTCATACCTTTTGTTTGCACATTTCTTTTGCCAGCTTTCAGAATGCTGGGACTGCAGTTTATTGCAGAGAAGGATGGAAAAGATAAAGGATCTTCTCTACCTTCAGTAGTCATAAATCAGCCCACAAGCCCATGAAAGGATTAAATGTACATGTACCATTGGGATTTATTTGCAAATAAAACACACCACACCTACAAAATCCGAGGTAGCTCAGGAAAAAAAAAAAAAAAAAAAAAAAAGAAAGATTATTTGTGGATATAAATTAATCAGGCAGCAGGAGGAGTAAATCTGTTGGTGAACACAGAAACACTGTGAGCACTGGTGAGTGCACCACGCAGGGACTGCCCCCCTCCTGCTCCCTCTGTGCCATTCATCACTGCATTTCCAACCCCACCAGCAGTAACTGAGGCTGGTTTTAGTGGAATAATGATGGAAACAGTAATTCCTGTGTAGGCAAAGCTGGAACTTCCTCACTTGCTGCGGAAAGTTACTGGTTTGCTGCTCTCCCAGTGCCTGTGCCCCCATTTACTGGGCTCCCTGGAGGTTCCTCATCCCAGCCTCTGGCCCTGCATGGCAAGCAGTGAGGACAAACAGTTTGGGAAGCAGGGGCTTGTTGCAATCCCACAAACCCTGCTTGCCCAGAGTGTCCAGCCTTGCTCTGGGTGACAAAACCCCTCCGAGGGCTCCCCTGCGTCACAGGGAGGAGATGTTTGTTTTCCCATCCTCTTCCCACAGCCAGGACAAGTCCCTGGAGGGAGACACGAGCATCCTTCTGCCCTCTCTCCCCTTTCCCTGTGGGAAAGCCCAGCCTGGGGCCACACTGTCCCTGGCCAGCACCATCCTGGGGACTCGTGTCCCTTCTTGCAGGGCTGGGTGGCTTTTTGTGGTGTTTTCTGGCTTTGGGAATGTGCAGAGAAGGGTAAAAAAAAACAAAACCAGGAAGCGAAGATTCTGCCAGGCACTTCTGGAAATAGCAGCCCTTTGGGAGACAGAGGGATCCAGCAGTGGGTTTTTAGTCTTTCCTGCAGGTTTGTTGAGTTTTATTGACAGCAAAGCCAAGATGACACCTGAGCCCAGCACCCCCAGGGCCAGCACGTCCCTCGAGAACTCCCACTGCCTCACCAGGAGTGACCTGTCCCTTCCCTTCCACAAACACAATAAATACAGCAATATAATCACTGCACGGTAATAGATTAATTTTTGTGGCAGGTGAAACATTAACTCCCCTTTGTATCTAATTCCATCACATCTCGGGTGCTTTCAGCGATAACACCCAAATCACCTTGAGAAAGTCACTCTGTACCATCCACTTGCACTGGAAGATTGAGCTTATCAGAGCATGAGGGAAGCACTGAAATATGTGCCATAAAAAGGCTGGGGGGAAAAACAGGCTGAGGCTTCTTAAAGGAGTCTGTCATAGGGTCCAGGTCTGCCTGGCACTGGAGGATTTACATAAAATCAGATGTGTAACTCGATTGGAAAGGTAAAACCTGTCCCTTTTCTTGTAAGTAGGCAGAGATGCCTGCCCTGAGAGCATGTAGGGGAGCATCTGATATAAATCCAGGTGTAGAAGCTTAGATGGGGATTTTACAAAATAGCCAGTGATGACACAGATGGAGTCAGGCTTGTTTCCCCTGAGATGCTGCCACTCTCCTTTCTGGTGGACCAGTAAAACCCACAAAGTGTCAAGATTATGGTTCCTATAACCACCTTCACCTTCAGGCTCAGGGCAACTTATGCTGCTGTCTGAGGAGGGTTAGCAGAGGCTCCCAAAAGCTGTGCTGTTTTTTCTCTAAATTGATGACAAATTGCCTCTCTGCAGTGCCCCCAGCCTGAAAATGCTCCAGGGATGTGTTTGTGTGTGGCACCTTTCAGAAATGGATGCAGCCCCTTGCAGGCAAGGCTGGCTCTGAGGCACAAAGTCAGATCCCCACAGGCTGATCCTGACTGACAGCAAGGCTGAGCCCCAGATCTTGGAAAATAAGCCCTGCACTCCTGTTGATAAGGGGAGGCATTGATTTTTGTCACTGGTGCTTGTTTTCTGCCCTTTTGCTTTGTTGGCCCCTCATCAGAGGCAGGTTAGGAAAACAGAGCAGTGGTTGGACATGAGCAGGCAGCAAAAAACACCTTCCCTCAAACTGTGCAAAGCACTGCCCATATTTTTCCTTCCTATGGATTCCCAGGAATGAGTCCTGATGCTCTAAAACAAGACCCAGCAGCGAGGCAAAGACTCAAAAGAATGATGGCAAAATAACTCTGCAGATTCTGCAGAAAGGGAAAAAAATTGCAAAAATATTCCCAAAAGTGGCCACTTTTGAGATAAACCCCCAGTATTCTGCACCCAAGGGGTTAAAGCTCAGAGTGAGTTGTGCTTTGGCAGCTCTGTTTGAGTCATTTCTCCCCAAAAAAGCGAAAGGAATCTGGGATTGCTGCGTGAAGGAGGAGGGATGTGCTGCCCTGTCACCACATGAACCTTCCTGCTCCCTCTGCCTCAGGGACATGGCAAGTGCCTTTTGAGCTGTTTGTGGCCAAGGTCTGTGAGCTGCCAGGAAAACACTGAGTGTGTTCAGGCTCCTTCCCCCAGCCCCGAGCTGCTGGACAGAGGCAAGAGGGGCTGGGGGAGAAACCAGCACTGAAACCAGCTTGGGTTAAATCAAAATTTTCTTTTTTTCTCTGCTGCTGTTTCACTCCATTGCTGCAGTGGAGGTGAGTCAGCTCTCAGAGACTGCTGCAAAAATGAGCTGCTGAAGTGCAATCCATGCCTGCTGTTCCCTGTGCAGGGCTGATGGAGCATGAGGCTGGCTGTGACTCGTGCTTCAGGGGGAAGGATGGTTTAAAGGGTGGAATGGGCCTCAAAAATCAGTGGGGGTTCTTCCAATTCATCATGGCATGTCCAGCAAAGGGTCTGGGCTGATCTTCAATCCGCTGTGGTCCCTGCAGTGTGTCTGAGGTCTGTGGTGTTGCTGTTTCAGGACTCTGAGCTGGTTTCCAGCAGGGATTTGCAGCAGCAGGGCTGGTGACAAACCCTGGCTTGGTGCTGTCCTCATGTGTCACTGCTGTTGGGGATTCAGGCTGGCTGAAACCAGCTGTGTGATGGGAAACACTGAGGGAATGGTTTAAAGGGGGATTTAAACTTCCTTTTCTTTGAGCTTCCTTCATGGAGTGACTCTTTCTGTGCCCCAGGAGTGGGGCTGTCCCCTGGGGTCACCACCTCAGGGGCAGGGGACACTCCAGGGCTGCTCTGAGGTGGCATCAGGGGATGTTTTTCCAGCCCTGCCATGAGCAGGTGCAGCCCCAGGAGCACCCTGCTGTACCAGGAGCCCAGCACAGGAGCCCTCAGTGCAGCCACGGCACAAAGGGTCCTAAAGGCTCCAGCACTGCCAGGTGCAGAGAGGTGACAACAAACCCCCAAATTCCCCCCGAGCTGCGTTAAATCCAGCAGGACCAGCAAACACCCCGTGGGTGTTGCTCTGACCCCCACATGGCCTCATGTCCCCCTCGTGCTTGGCCTTGTCCCTCTGAAGTGGCCTTTTTCCCTCCCCAGAGCCTGTTTATTCCAAATCCAACCACAGTGGAGGATCCTGCAGGAGCAAAGCCCCAAACACTCCTGTTTAGGGACCACAAGGAGCAGAGCCACTGCCTGGGAGGATTTCTCACTGCCACAAGCACTGGGAGTGTCTCACTGACAGAATCAGTCCTGCAGGAGCAAAGCCCCAAACACTTCTGTTTAGGGACAAGGAGCAGAGCCACTGCCTGGGGGGATTTCTCACTGCCACAAGCACTGGGAGTGACTCACTGACAGAATCACTGGGATTTTCTCACTGACACAAGCATTGGGATTTTCTCACACAAGCATTGGGATTTTCTCACTCACACAAGCACTGGGAGTTTCTCCCTGCCACAAGCACTGAGATTTTCTCACTGGCACAACCATTGGGATTTTCTCACTGCCACAAGCACTGGGAGTGTCTCACTGACAGAATCACTGGGATTTTCTTACTGGCACAACCACTGGGATTTTCTCACTGATACAAACACTGGGATTTTCTCACTGACACAAGCACTGGGATTTTCTCACTGGCACAACCATTGGGATTTTCTCACTGCCACAAGCACTGGGATTTTCTCTCTGACAGAACCACTGGGATTTTCTTACTGCCATCAGCACTGGGATTTTCACTGCCACAAGCACCGGGAGTGTCTCACTGACACAACCATTGGGATGTTCTCGCTGCCACAAGCACTGGGAATGTCTCAGTGACAGAACCATTGGAATTTTCTCACTCACACAAGCACTGGGAGTTTCTCCCTGCTACAAGCACTGGGATTTTCACTGGCACAAGCACTGAGAGTGTCTCACTGCCACATGCACTGGGATTTTCTCACTGGCACAACCATTGGGATTTCTCACTGCCACAAGCACTGGGGGTTTCTCACTGCCACAAGCCCCTCTCTCTCTCCTCTCAGCCGTGCAGAACGAGCGTGACAGGATCAGCATCCGCAGGAGCAGCTATGAGGACAATGGCTCTCTCTCCATCAACATCCTCACTCAGGCTGAGGCCATGGCACAGCAGGTAGGACACCTGGGCACAGCCCCTCCAAACGGGTCCATGGCCCTCAGCAATCCCAGCCCACCAAACCAGCCAGGGTTTTTTCTGCCCTTCGATGGCTCCTGCACAAATCCACAGGGAAGAAAATGCAAAATATCCAAAAGCAGACAGGAAAAAATCCATTATCAAGGCCATACATCCTGCAGGCAGCAGATGCACCTTTGGTGGGAGGTAGAAAGCTGAAATTCCAAGGGCTGAGGGATGTTGCAGAGCCCAGGTCCCCTCTTCCCCCAGCCTAAATTGTTGCTGCACCCCTACAATCTCACTGCATTCACACAGAATTTTATCCTTCCTCACTGCACTCTGTCCTGCTTTGAACATAATATTCCAGTCATGGTTGATTGTATCTCTCCTCATAACTTCTTTATCGGGGCAGAAAAATAATGTGAGTAAATCCACTGGCCTTCAGCGATGCTGATTGCTCTTTTATTTCATGCTCCACCATTAACTTCACCCTGAGCTTCCTTTAAATTCTTATGCAAATACCCTTTCCCCACTGAAACACACGGCCCAGATGTTGCACATTACATGCAGCAATGAGCCCACTTCCTTTTCAAAAATCATTGGTTTTAACCCTCTCCCTGCCAGGCAGCCCTGTAGAGATCCAAAAGGATTCTTTGTCCCACCTTGGGGGAGAAAAGCTGGATGCATTTTGTCATTTGCCTGGCAGGAGGGATTTCTGGGAAGCTGAGACACGGTGCTGCCGGCTGCTGCTAGGGATGGGAATGTTGATTTTTGTCCTGGAGAGCGGGGAAGGAGGCTGAGGAGGGCTGGGTGTGTGTTGGGACTGAGCACCACCTCGTGGAAGCTGCTCCGTGGGCTGAGAGTCGGACACAGCTGAGCACAGAGTGTCCAACCACATCGGGAACATCTCCTCAGGGATGAGTCCTTGCTGTGGAGGGTGACAAAACAGCGCTGATCTGCTGCAGACACAGCCAGAACTGCTTTCTCTTTCAGTATTTATCCCTGAGCCCCGTGCACAGCACAGACATTGCCATGAAGAAGATTGCCACCATCAACGACGTGTGTGAATCCATGAAACAGCAGCTCCTGGTGCTGGTGGAATGGGCAAAATACATCCCAGCCTTTTGTGAGCTCCCCCTCGACGACCAGGTAAAACCCAAAGGCCCTTCCCGGGAAATCCAGTGCCTTTGGAAGGGATTCCCAGCTGGGCTTTCACGGGAGGATCTGGCATTAACATACAGATCGCCCTATGCAGAGTACAAACAGGAGAGAAAGAGGGACCAGTTAAAAATACTACTTCAGTAGCCAAAGTCCCTCAAAATATAGATTTGGTCAGTCCAACCTGCATTAACATACAGATCGCCCTATGCAGAGAGAAAGAGGGGCCAGTTAAAATAACTTCAGTAGCCAAAATTCCTCAAAATATAGACTTGGTCAGTCCAACCTGCAAAAGATCCAGTCAAAAAATTCTGATTGTGTCAGGCTGCTGCAGTTCTGATTTTGCCTTTGCTGGTACTAATAATTGATTATAGAATCCGATTATTTCCTAAGAACTCAAATTACTCAAGCCCCTCTTTGCTCTTTTAGTTAAAAACAGCTTCTCATTTAGTTTGCCACGAATGTAGCACTTCTCAAAGTGAACATACACTGATATTTTCTAGCCCTGAACAGAACTTTATCTGTAGATCTGCCAGACCTAAGCAAACACCAAATGGGGCTTAATTAAACAGCAACAGCACAGCACTCCATCCTCTGCTTTTCCAACAAATCTTATTTCTGTCTCCTGTGCCACCTCCAGGTTGCCTTGCTCAGAGCCCACGCAGGGGAACATCTGCTCCTCGGGGTGGCCAAGAGGTCCATACCATACACTGACTTCCTGCTGCTAGGTAAAGTCGTGAAACACACTCCTGCTTTTATAATTCACCCCTCCCAAGTCATTCCCAAGCATTCTGCATCCCTGAGACCCCCTCTGCACTCCTGGGCATGGGCTGCACATCTGGGTGGAGACACAGTGCTAGAGTAAAAAGGAACAAGCAAATTCACTGGGATTTTTTTTTTTAACTGTTCCCTCACTGCTTTGAAATTGTGGATGAGAAAGCCTCAGAATTTAAATGGCATCTCAAATTGGGTTGTCTTGGTTTTGTATCTGAAATTGCCAAGGCCCAAGCAATGAGGTATTTGGGTATAGATACTTAAAAACTGATCAGAAATGTCTATTAAAAATTACAGCGCAAATAGGTGTTTCCTTTTATAGGAAAAGGAAAATTATTTATTTTTCAATTTATTTATTATTTTATAGGAAAATAGGTGTTTTCCACCACAGGTGGGATTGTTCTCAGAAAAATGAGAATACTGACCTAAAAGCTTCTCATTAAAGAAAATAGAGAGGGATAACTTTGTGTGAGAAAAGAAAACCAAAAATAGAGATGCAGCACTGCTTACAAACAGATGCTCAGTGTAACACAGGGCAAAGCAGAGCAGAACATGGAGCAGGCTGTGTGCACAGTGTGGGTGCACTGACGTGCAGCTGAGATAAATGAGGAGCAGGGGATGAGATCTGGGCTTGCTTTTCTCTCGTGGATCAGATTATAAAGCTGCAGACTGGAAATTGCAAATGGCACTGGGACTATCAGGAAACCCTCCTTTGGGAGCTGTGGTTGTGTTTGAGGGTCCCCAGGATGAGGGAAGAGATGAGAATCTTGACTCCGTGTTTCAGAAGGCTGGTATATTATATTATATTAAAATGCTATACTAAAACTACACTAATAAGAATAGAGAGAAAGGATCCATCAGAAAGCTAAAAAGGAGTGAAATAAATAACAAAAACCCATGACTCTCAGAGAGTCCACATGGCTGGACCATGGTTGGTCATGAAGTAGAAACAATCTACATGGACCAATCAAAGATGCCCCTGGTAAACAACTTCCAGCCATCACAGCCATCAGACAGTTATTGTTTACATTTCCTTTCTGAGGCTTCTCAGCTAGAATAGGAGAAAAATCCTAGCAAAGGATTTTCATAAAACATCACAGTGACAGGGAACTGCTGGATGAGACCAGGGCTAGAGCCAAAACTTGATGGGGAATTCCTCTTGTCTTTTTAGGAAATGATTTCATCATCCCAATGCACTGCCCAGAGCTGGAGATCGCTCGTGTGGCCACCAGAATCTTGGACGAGCTGGTGAAGCCCCTGCGGGACATCCAGATCGATGACAATGAGTACGCCTGCCTGAAAGCCATCATCTTCTTTGACCCAGGTGAGATTCCCTCTGGCTGCCAAGCACAGGGCTGGCACAGCAGCTGGGGCTCTCCAAAATCCAGGAAAACCCCTTGGAAGCAGCTCTACATCTCGTGCTGTAATGAGCAGCACTCAGTGGTGCAGTTTTAAGGCAGAAGTGACCGGTTCCTGAGTGTGAACTCCAGCCAGGCTGATGTGCAAGGCTCTGCAGGCCCTGAAGGAGTTTGGCTGCTGCAGGAGCTTGGCTTTGGGAAAGCCCATCAGCCTGAAATGCAGGAGATGATCATTAAGGACATACATGCCTGTATTAATTATGTATGAGCAAAGAGAGCCAAACAAGCAGCAATGTGGAGCATCCATAAGAGTCCAGAGAGCACCATCAGAAACCACAGAGAGCTGGGCAGCTCAGTGCCCAGAAACATCAGGGATCTGCTAATGGGTCTTGCTGGAAGCCAGCAGCAACCCAGGGCAGGGCTGGTCCACAGGATGGAGAACAGGGAAATACAGAGAAAAAACAGTTTGTTTTGAAGCTTTATTCCAGAAGCACAGGGGTTCTGCCTTGGCCAGGGTTCCAGTGGGTATCTCTGGAGCTCAGGGAGGAGATGGGAGAACAGTCCCAAGTCCAGACAATGCCCTTTTGTCTTTTAGCATGAGAAATCAGAGTGTCATCCATTAATTATTGGGTTTTTTTGCTGTATTCACTGATTCAAAATCAAGATCCAGGTGTTTCAGGAGCGTCATGGATTTTGGCTCACCAAAGCCTGCTGTGAACAGAGGAGGGGTGCTTTCATTCAATTGATTTTGACAAATTACCTTCTCAGCTGATCAGTGTCTCCGTGCAGCGTTAGATCAATGTGACAATGAGGTGCTGAGGTTTCAGCTGGAAGGAGGGAGTGTGAAGTTCATCCATGCTAACGAGCAGGAATGTCCTCGGAGCTCCGTGCTGACACACAATCATTTGTTCACCACTTTATCTAATCTCTTGGCACTACACTCCCCAAAATGTGGTGCCTGTGGATTCTTTGCAGACAGTGAAGGAAATGGTGCAGTGATGCAGAAATCTCAGGTTTAGATAAGAGCAGAGGCAGGAGTGGGAGGCTGTAAATGCCAGCACTTCACCCGACCCAGGGACAAATTTGTTTGCTTAAGGAAAGCTGGACCAGTGGTCCCTGAAAGAAAACATTGACCACAGGTCTAAGACAGGAGAGCAAAACAAGAACCTGATCCTGCAGCGAGTGTAATCACAACATACAGGCACTGAAACTCCTTGCATTTAGTGGTGGCAGTTGTGACTCAAAGTTTTCAGGGGAAAATTCCAGGCTGTTTCCTTGGAAGGATAAATATTTTAACTTCTAAATTTTTCCCCTTTGCTAATGGCAGTAGGCAGACACATCAATGTGAAGCAAGCTGTTATTTTCTTACTTATTTTCTCTCCTATTTTCTGACAGTTTCCCTTCAAAGTCTCCTCCAATTACTGTTTCCCCTCCATTCCCCTCACAATTTATCTGTTCCATGTGAGATGTGAAGCAATGGCAGCCCAGCCTGCCAGCTGATCTTGGAGACCCTCTCAGAGCATCACTGCCATCTCATCCTTTTCCCTGCACACAGCCCCCCTGTGAGAAATGCTACTCACTTCCAAAAACTTAGAAAGGTTTATTAAAACCTTATAAAAATACAACAGAAGATAGATTTTTCTCTATTCAATTGAATAGAGGAAATATTACAGTGCCAGGAGCAGAGGATTTTCCCCATCATGTGTTCACCCACACATGGAGGTTTTGCCTTTTAACCCTTTAGCCGCTCCCAAAGTTCTGTCCATCAACTCCTCCATTGTCCAGTGGTGGACATCACTGCCTTAAATCCTGATTGGAGATCAGCTGTTACCATAGTGACAAGCCCTCCCAAATGTTCCAAACCCAGGCCACCCCTGATAACAACACAAGGGGGTAAAACATGACTATAAACCTATAAAACTTAACAGATATACATCATATTTGCCTTTTTAATCGTGAGAGCCAACCATGGCGTTACTCACCTACCCCACTGCCTGACAGGCCAAAACCTGCCTGCACAGGCCACCAATTAACCCCATTTCCCTCTGCCCCAGACTGCAAAGGGCTGAGCGAGCCGGGCAAGGTGAAGAACATGCGCTTCCAGGTGCAGGTGAACCTGGAGGATTACATCAACGACCGCCAGTACGACTCGCGCGGCCGCTTCAGCGACATCCTGCTGCTGCTGCCGCCCCTGCAGAGCATCACCTGGCAGATGATCGAGCAGGTGCAGTTTGTGAAGCTCTTCGGCGTGGCCAGGATCGACAGCTTGCTGCAGGAGATGCTGCTGGGAGGTACGAGGCTGTCCCGAGGAGGGGCGGCCAAGCTGGGTTGTGTTAAAGCTGTTGTAGGGCTTTGTGTCTGCTGGGGGAGGGTTGTAGGAATGTGCTTCTTGTTGATGGAGTGACAAAATTGTCCTATGTCTCCTTAAAAAGGAAAAAAAGCCCAGAAGTTTCTTTCCTCAGTTAGCAAAAGAGACACCTCATAAGACCTGAGGGACTTTCAACTCAAACTTTTGTGGGGTGTTTTACCAAGAGCAAGAACCTCTTGCACCTAGCTTGGTTTTTCTCTGTAAAGAGCTTTGTTATTTTGCCTTTTATTAAAACTTTTCTGTTTCCAACACTACCACAGAAGCCATCCTGCTAATTTTAAGCCTTCTAAGGTAGCTGAGCTATCTTGGGTGTGATATAGGTCTCAAGAGCTAATAAGACCTGACTCAAAGAGACCATATACCAGAGGATGGAGGGAAAGGATTGGGGGTGTTCAGCCTGGAGAAAAGGAGACTCAGGGGTGACTTTATCACTCTCTACAGCTCCGGAAAGGGGCCTGTGCTCAGCTGGGGCTGGGCTCTTTCTCCAGGCAGCACTGACAGACCCAGGGCACACAGTCTCAGGCTGTGCCAAGGGAAATATAGGCTGGATATTAGGAAAAAGTTTTTTACAGAAAGTTCTGGAATGGCTGCCCGGAGAGGTGGTGGAGTCACCATCCCTGGGTGTGTTTAACAAAGCCTGGATGTGGCACTGGGTGCCAGGGTTTAGTTGAGGTGTTGGGGCTGGGTTGGACTCGATGATCTTGAAGGTCTCTTCCACCTGGTGATTCTGTGAATTCTATGAGGACAGAGAGAAAGGGTTTTAAGCTGAAAGAGAAAAGGTTTAGGTAGGATGTTGGGAAAAAATTCTTCCCTGTGAGGGTGGGCAGGCCCTGGCACAGGGTGCCTAGAGCAGCTGTGGCTGTCCCTGCATACCTGGAAGTGCCAAGGCCAGGCTGGGTGGGGTTTGGAGCACCCTGGGACAGTGGGTGGCATCCCTGCCCGTGGCATGGGGTTGAAATGAGATGAGCTCTAAGATCCCTTCCAACCAAAACCATTTGATGAATTGTAGCTTGAAGGGTCCTTCTGACTCCAGTCCAATCCCAGAGCCATTCTTTCCAGCCTAGCTCTGGAAACCCGGTGAGATTCACAGCAAAGGATCCCCTCTGTGGTGTGGCCTCCAACCTCAGGCAGTTTAAGGCAGACAACACATCTTTTGTTAGAAACATGTAAAAGTTATAACTTTATGGGAAACCCGGATAAGAGCAGCACTTGGGACACACCACCAGGCAGAAGAGTACAGCTGGAGAGCAGCTGAAAGCCCAGACATCCCAGGGGGCTGCTCCTACACAGCCAGAGCCTGAGAGCAGGGGAAGGAAGCAAAGATGAGCCATTAACCTTCACCCACAGAGGTCTTCCACATCCTCTGGATGGAAAAGATTTAGCCCAGAGCATCTTGTCAGGAGCTGTGCATGGAATGATGTCTCTTCCCAACTGCACTTGCAGGAACCTCTGCTGATCTCCAGTACCAGTCAGCACCTCCCAACCTCAACCTGGAACCACTGCCAGGACACGTCCTGCAAAGCAACATGACCTCTGTGATCCACACTGCTCCAGACCGTATGTCCCCCTTTTTATGTTATTTACAGCCTATTTTTACATTATTTACAGCCCATCATTAGTGTCAGCATAAGCAAGGAACTGGGCAGCAGACACAGCTCAGAAAAAAAAAATATTAATTATTAAATTAAATTATTAATTTATTTAAATTTTTATTTATTTAAAAAAGTTTGTTTATTTTTAAAAGCTTATTTATTTAACATTTTATTTATTTAAAAAAGTTTATTTATTTATTTTAAAATAAATTTAATTTACATTCTTTAAGTTTATTGAAGTAAATGTGAGTTTAGTTTAGTTCTTTAAGTTTATTTTAATGAGTTTTAAGTGTTACACTGGAATCAGAGCTCACAGCCCCCCTGGCTGACTCCTTTCCATGATTCCAAATAGAAGTTAGGGTTTGTAATGGTAGCATGACCCAGGGGGGTTTTGAGATATTACTGAAACAACACAAGATTGAAAAAAAAAAGGGCTAGAAATCAAGACTGGGTGTTTCTATGGATTTGGCAGCACTGGGAGGAGCCACAATAGAGGACAGATGGTTCTTTATGGCTGGAGTTCCCTGTGGCTGCTGCCCAACAACAGAACCTGAATACAAGAGCATCTTCAATCCCCCTGGGCACTGCTGGGCTGTGGGTTAAGGCATTTATCCCCTGTAGGACCACACTATTGAAAAAGGAAAATAGAACAGGAGGTGGAATTTAACAACACTGCCATGTAATCACAATGTCCTGTATTCACAGTGTCCCTCCCTCTGCCAGTTACAGTCATTTACCTCCTGTAGTGTATTTTGCTGTTTCTCAGCTATATAAATGTTGGCATCATGTATTTTAAGTGGCTTTTATTTAGCTTTTAAGCCCCTTTCCGGCAAAGGAGATTAGAGAAGTGCTCTGTAGATGAGGTGCAGTGGGGCTGCAGGCTGAGCTCCTCTCTGACAAGGAGATGAAGGATTGAAGAGCCCTTGGGGCATCCCCCAAGTGCAAAACACTGAGAAGGACTGGTCCATGTCTGCCAGTCCACCCTGTGCCTCCTCACAAACCAGGAAAGGAGGACGTGCCAGGATCCCCCAAGCTCCTGCTTTTGAGTTTGTAGGATGGTTTGCCGATTTCTATTTGAACAGCATCCAAGCCCACGTTAATTCTGTTCCTTTTCTCTCCCACAGCATCTCCTGAGACATCCCTTCCATCTCCTTCTGCCAGCACAGGCAGTGAAGACTATAAACTAGGCTCTAGCGCGGGGCCCAGCACCGTAGTGCAGCTGCTGCCTCAGACAGCGATGCCCAAGCAGGAGATTTTATAGGCAGAGGAGGAAGGAGGAGCTGGGAGCAGTGTGGGATCCGTGCTGACAGCGAACCGGGCCCTTTCTCTGTGCAGAGGCCAGGCACAGCACGGCCCTGCCCGCAGCCTTCCCCGCCCGTGAGCCGGGACAGGCACAGCCTGCCCAGGAGCCTCGCCACGGGATTGCCACCAGCAGCACCCCCGGAACAAGGACTGGGGTTGGTGCCCTCCTCAGCAGGGCCAGGACTGGCAGCTCTTCGGGTTTTGTGTTCGTGACCATGGCTCGGGACCCTTCATCAATCCAGGGCCTCGCACGGCTCCTGGTAACCCTCACACAGCGTGGCCTGAATTGGGATCAAAAGGTCCATTCCCAACACAAATTTAATTAGTTGCACTCCCATTTCTTCTGTTAAGATTTAGGAAAAATATCATCATCATCATCCTTAGAAGGCCAAGGCCTTATTCCACCCAGAGGGGCCTGGTCCCTATAGGGCAGCCAACGCTTAATGCTGTCCAGTTCTTCTTTAGGAACAGAAGTGCCAACTTTTTGCTGTTTTCCATAATTTCCAGTATAGCCAGAGTCCATTTGTGAGCCAGTGGATGGGCTCTACCTTGTGAGCATATCTAGCAGCAAAGATCTCTGCCTCTTACCGTGGCTGCTGCTCTGGCTGATTTGGGTAAACCCCAAATCAAGGCTGACTTATCCCAAACCCTGCTTGTTATCTCCTGCAAACTTTTACTGCAAACGTTTTTGGAAGAAGCAAATGGCCAACAATACCTTTGCCCAGTACACAGATGTGATTTTTCTGTACTTTTGTGTTTCTTTCTAATGTCTGCAATGTGGCTCTAAATTAGCCAAGAAAAGGAACAGGCAAGCCTGTGAGCCATTTTTTGTCAAAAGGGTTTGTATTTAAAACAAGGTGCTTCTGCCTTAATGTAACATTTAATCAGCAGTTCAACAACAAATTGAATAAGCCCAGTGGTGACCACACAGCCTCAAGAGTTCCCAAGGTGCTGTCGTTGTGCTATGGAGTTGATTTGAATGAATGGGACCTTATTAAAAAGCAAATTACCAGATTTCCACACAACCTAAGCTCATTTGTGCACCAACCTCTGCCAAACAGCCACTGAGGGATCAGGAGTGGCCGTCCTGAGCCCTGGACACGATGGAGAATTCCTGGTTCTCACCCTCTGCACAAATTCCCCAGGCACCCCTGCCTGCTGATGGCAAAGCCGAGCTGGTGGAGCCCAGAGGGGCTTTGGGGAGCACCTGGAGCTGCTCAGCTGGAGGAAACACAATCCCAGCCACTGAAAGGGAGCCTGGGAGGAGCACCAGAGCTTCCAGCAGCAGGGGAATTTCAGCACTGCCACTCTGCAGCACCAGAGAGAGCTGAAAGCCATCAGAGAGCAGCTCGGGTTTCACCTGGATCAGAATGTTTTGTTTTTCTCCTGCCTCTGATGAATTTGAGCTGACGTTTTATGCTGATAGCCCTGATTTGAAACAGCTCTATCTGGAGAGCAGGTTCCACTGCAGGCATTCCTGCTGCATGACAGATGCAACTGTTCTGAGCCAGCATTGCTTCCAGTGCCTCCAGCAGCTCCATTCCATTCCTCTTCCAGACATTAAATGTACATTTATACTCATTAATGGTAAGAAAATAAATCTATGGGGGAAATAAATTCCATATTCTCGTATTTCATCCGGATAGTTTGCCTTTTTTCTTGAATTCAAAACCAAGTTTCCAAGGTTCTCCACTGATTTCTCCAATACAGATATCTATTTTTCATTAAAAAGAATCACCTCTGGCTGCAAAGCCTGGCTTCTACTGGATACTGATGGAATTCAAAAACTAAGAAGAAAATAAAATTGTCCATGCACCAAGGCGAAGGTTTGCAGCAACAATAATTTACTGTATAAAGGCCCAAAATAGAGTTCTGCTGTGAATCTTTCTGGCTTCCCTATCTCAAACCCCATTCTAATTAAACACACCTTGCAAATGACTATTTTATTGCAATAATGATTTTGTTAACAAAAGAGATTCAAAGCCATCATTTAATAATATTTCCCTTGTCAGGTGCCAACTACTTATCAGAATGGAGAACCTCAGGCAAGAAAATCTTAAATGTTTCTGAGTTATCCCCTTCCTTGCCAATTCTAATATTTGGCATCTTTAACACTGAATGTGGCTCCAATATTAACTTTATGCTGCACTATAATATATGGAGAAATTGCAGAAGTATTTCGGAGGTGCAAAGTTTTGTTTCTGTTATTAAAAAGCAGCCTGTGCTTGCTTTGATGCCTGTTGGATAATTTCCAGGGCTCTGGTTGGGGATGACAGGAGTGAAGTGCAGGACAAGAGCAGATGTGTTACTGGAACACAGGCAGGAAAAGAATTAAAAGCTATTCAGAACACAAAAAAACATGACTAAGTGAAAGAAGCAGAATAAAAAATTAACAATCTCATCAATGAAGAAGCACCAACCACATTAAAATTAGAATTGACCTGTAACCCTTTTCAGAAGTAAAAAAATAATAAAGAACCAGTGCTGGTGCATTTCATTTCAGTGTTATTAACAGATTCCAGAATCATTTTACAGCCCAATTTATGTATTTCAAAACCCCTTAAGCTATTTTCTTTCTCCAACAGTACTGGCCTGAAGCCAACAGAGAGAAGCAGAACAATTATAGAAATTCAACATTTCTGCACAGGACAGGCATAAAGAAATCCATACACGAATTCTTGCTAAGTCCAAGGCTTCAGAAAGGATTTCTGGAACAATACTGACGTTACTACTAGAAATTAAACAAGAAAATAAAAAGGAGATAAATTGGCAGGATCCATCTGCTGGGATGTCTGTTCCCTTCAGAGAATAAACAAACTGTTCCTTAAAATACACATAAACACAAATCATTAACCTGCTCCAAAATATCAGCAGCACTGGCACAAAGTTTGTGTTGATGGATTTGGAGTTCTTTTCAGCATAGAAACATCAGAGTAGAGCGTGATACAGACCCAGAAAATATCTCAAAGTGCTTTTTAGAATTATTGCAAAGGAGCTTTGAGTCTGCCCATCCTTTCCTGCCATTTGTTCCTCCTCCCCCTTGTTTGGGTGGACACTCCCAAGCTGCCGCTCTTTCCAAGCTCAGACCTCTCTTTGCTCCAGAAGCTGCAGAAACAGAGGAAAAATCCAACATTTGCACAGAAAAACTGGAGACTCAAACCTGTATTTAGCCCAAATTCCTTGGAAGTGCGAAGGCTGGAACACTGAGGTGAGTTTTCAGATTGGAAGTGTTTTCCCACTCACCTCAGACAAACTGGGTGGGAACAAGATGAGCTTTAAGGTCCCTTCTCATGTAAATCACTCCGTGGTTCTGTAATAAAATAAGCAACTACACCAGAGATGAAGGGAACGCCCAAGAAGGGCCAACAGAGTGTAGCTTAAAATTCTTAATAAGCAGAGGAGCCTCTTTAATTTGGAGCAGTATCACCTGTTAATTAACATAAATACAAATTAATTACAAACCAAAGGATTCAAGACTATTCCCCTGAAGCTGATTCAATCTAAATATACGTGGAAAAAAAACCCCTGACATGTAGAGAAGTTAATCAACTAAGACTTCAATTCATTAGTTTATTCTTTTTTACATTAAAAAAAAATTACAACGTAAGGATTTGAAAAGCCGAGTAAACTGGATTTCACACGCACACATTTGCCAAGTCACAGGGTCCAACCACCTGGAGTGCTATTTTCTGATTTTCTCATTGAACAATAAACACAGTAAGAGCCTCAGGACAAAGCCAGACACATTTTTGTCTCCCCAGTCTTTAAGGTGTGCAACTGAATCTGCACAGAATCCTGTGGAACTTCCAGCTTCCCTCTCAGTTTCGTTCACAGGACTGCAATTCCAGTGGATTTCCACCTAGGAAGGCTCCAGCATTCCACACCACCACCCTCCCCCAAGCAAAGTGAAAATATCCCAAAGTATTGCACAGTTTTGTTCACAGGGCACAGACAAGAAATGGATCCCTCTGTACCTCCGGCCACCCCATGGAACAGAAACTGATGGAGCTGGGATCAGGATGCCAAGAAGAGATGGAGAAGCAGGGCACTGAGAAAGGAAACAGCTCCTGCAGGGCACAATGGTTGGAATGCAGGGCTCTGAGCTGCTTGAGGTGGGACAGGTCACCAGTGCCACTGGCTGAGCAAAAGCAAGAACAGGACAATTTTAAGGCAAGTCCCAAAACAGGGAGCTATTTACTTTCTAGGCACGATTTCAAGCTATGCATCAAGGCTCCTGCTTTATCCTTTATATGGTCAGTAATTTATAGGTTAACAATAATACAAAAAATAGTCTAAATGTCATTTTTAAAGAATCAACTTTTAGCTGGATTTTCATGACTTGCAGCTTGTATTTCATTACTTGCAGATTTATGAACATTTTTTAGCACTACTGTTGTTTGTCAGGCCCACATAAAGCAGTTCTAGATCTATATTGCTCTCATTTCTTCAAAGTAGTTTTGGTTGGAAATGGTTAAATTCAAAATAACTCCTTCTATTGCAGATGTTTCTACATTTAAGATGTGCTGTACTTGAGAAAGGAGGGAAGTTGCCTCTTTCTCTGCTGTCTTTGTTCAAGGGGTCATTAACAGCTTTCCCTCTATGACAAGTCTGTACAATAAAAAAGGGGCAGAGCAAGACCCTACAAGGACAAAGTGTTTGCAGTGAATGACCCCCAATTTGTCACTTCATGTCACCTCACACAGCAGGACACTGGTCCCACTCATCCCTGCACAGTCCACACCTGAGTTCCTCTGCAACCAAAGCATGAGGAACTGGAACTGCACATCCCAGGGCAGGATTTGGCCCCCCAGCAGATTACAAGTGAAAATTTAGCCTTTCCCTAAATGCCAGATGGGATGGGCACTGCCAAACACAGGCCATGCTTTAGGGGGCCTGGGAAGACACAGGGCAGGGTGTGACAGTGCCTCCGTGCTGGGCACCAGTCCTGGGCATCACCTGCACATGAGGAATGTGTGGGACACACAGGGACAGCTCTGCTTATCAGGACAACCTGAAAGAGAAAGGAGAACTGAACAAAGCACAATTCCCTGAAATCTGGACTGAGAAGGCTGTGTCTCACTGGAGATCAACTTCCACCAGAATGCTCCTCCTAATGATTGACAACTGCATCCAAGGACTTAGACTCGTTATAAAAACACACAGGTAATTCCCCAGACAGGTATCAAATAAAAAGGGTTTAACAAAAAAAATGGGGAAGTAATCTCAGAAAATAAATTACAGTAGCATGACA